TTGTCAAAATTTGAACTTAAGATATCTAAATTATACAGTTGCTTATATTATTATTTGAGCTATTATCCTCCTGTTTCAAAAACTAAATACCATTTGCTTTAAAATTATTTAAAAAACAAATAAATAAACCCAACACATTAAGATTAGGGTATTTTTGAATTTTTAAAATGATTACTTATTTACTAATGAGCTCTTGATCCCAAAAAATCAACCTACCAAGGATGTCCACGTGTCCATAGGTTATCCGTCGGAAACTGATAAAACAATTCAGCAATTGGCATATATGCACATGATTGTATATACTGCTTCCCTTGTTATATCATTCCTCTCTCTCTCTCTCTCTCTCTCTCTCTCTCTCTCTCTCTCTCTCTCTCTCACCTTCAATATCAACACAGAAGCAGAAAGAGGAAGCATCAACAAGGAAGAAGAGAGACTCAAATGGAAGTTTGCCTGAAAATGACCAACATGCTCGGAGAAGAGCGTGGGGGTTATAGTTTGAATCTCAAAGAGACTGAGCTTTGTCTTGGATTGCCCGGCGGGGGAGGAGAAGCCGAGACCATGAAGATCACTGGAAAGAGAGGATTCTCAGAGACTGTTGATCTGAAACTCAACCTTCAGTCCACTGAATCAGCTATGGATCTGAAGGAGAAGATGAAGAACCCATCAAAGGAGAAAAACAAACTTCCTTGCACCAAAGATCCAGTGAAGCCACCTGCCAAGTAAGTCTTTGTAAAATTTATATAATATGAGCTCTTTATGCATCCAATCATATAGCCGATTCCAAATGATTAGAATATAAAACTTGATTTTGGTTTAGTTTGATTTGTTTTATGTCTCAGATACGTGTATACATCCATCACACCCACACAACTTCAAGGTGGCTGTATCAACTAGGAATTCAGTGAAAAAATAGCACTGTGGAATTGTAAGAGGCGAATTCGTGTAACAACAACTTAGAGGACTCGGGTTTGACTCGAATTCACCTCTTACAATTCACTTGAGTGGCCCTGAGTCACGTAAGACTCATGGTTGATACATACAAAGGTATCAGATCAGATTCAGAAGGCACTGAATGGAATACAACTCGACTGAGTCGTTTGGGTCTATAATTTGAACTAAAACATGCACAAACATATATACATATACATGTACATATATGTATACACACACATACACAGTTCAGGTGTGTTAAAGGATGGTGGATATTGATTTTGCAGGGCACAGGTGGTAGGTTGGCCACCAGTGAGATCATTTCGAAAGAACATGATGAATCAGAAGAGTAACACCGAAGAGGCTGAGAAACCTGGCAGCAGCGCAGCATTTGTGAAGGTTTGCATGGATGGAGCTCCTTACCTTCGTAAGGTAGACTTGAAAATGTACAAAAGCTACCAAGAACTGTCTGATGCCTTGGCCAAGATGTTCAGTTCCTTCACCATGGGTAAGTTCATTTATAACTTCATATAACTCCAAAGAATATATGATCATATGAGAGAGAAAAGGGAAAATTTACCATAAATTTTTCAGATCTTGAACCTATAATACTTGGACAATTATATTACCCTATGCTTTCTTTTGAGGAATTTTTTCGACAAAAAGATATTTCATTTTATAAACAATGAATATGAAATATAATTCAAAGGATACTCGTAAACTCTTCGAGGTATACTCATAAGAAGATACTCAGATCCGAGAGACTAGGTAGCAACCTCTCTCACATTCTGAGATGTTCTTTTCAAGACTTTTTTTTCAAAATTTTTTTACAAGAGTAGGGGCGAGGTTTAAACCCGCGACCTAACAGTCCAATGACAGATTATGGATTCTGAGATATTAAGAATAACATTTGCCTTTATATAGATTTGGGCAACTAAGCTCCCCTATGTTTCTTGAGTAATTTATCTTTGTGGTAGCCTAAAATTAGGTCACTTTGAGGTTGGCAGGAAAGTTAAAGCAACCTACAATTATTTTTCAAATTGTTAATTGTATGTTATTATTACAGCATGAGAAGAATAATTAATAAATCCTTATGAGGCAGATCTTAGAATCAGCAATGTGATGCTAAGTCTAGATTTGCTATTGAAAACCTTGAATTTAGCTTTTCATTCTACAATAAATTCCACTGGCTATTGTGGTTTATTCTATTGCAGGTAATTATGGGAACCAAGGAATGATTGATTTCATGAATGAGAGAAAGTTGATGGATCTCTTGAACAGTTCAGAGTATGTGCCCTCCTATGAAGATAAGGATGGTGATTGGATGCTCGTCGGGGACGTACCATGGGAGTAAGTTCTCTCTCCTATAAAACCCTAAAGCATGCATATATAAACCTCAGGTTAACACAGAAACTAACTAAAACTTCATCTTGTAGGCTAGTTTAAACAAGTTCATGAACAATCAGTGTTTATAAACCATTTTCTAGCAGTCTAGCAAAATCTTGTGCATTTTGTTCTCACCAGAACCTAACAATAATACCATAAACTCAAAAAACCTATTTGATTTTATGCAGGATGTTTGTCGATTCGTGCAAGCGCCTGCGTATAATGAAAGGATCAGAAGCAATTGGACTTGGTATGTGCATCCCTACACTTAGCATGATTGAATAGTTCATTTCATGCAATACTTTTTACTAATTATGTTAACAGTTCAAGCTTTGGAATTCTGAGCTTATATGTATTAGTTCTATCTTGATGCTTTTTATTATAGAGCAAATAGCTTCTCTTACTTTTGTTTCTATGTGTTCAGTTTTAGTTTTAATTGAATTTTTTTCCTTTCTGTAGTTACTAATCATTTCTTTCACATTTCAGCCCCAAGAGCCATGGAGAAATGCAAGAACAGATGCTGAAATGCACCCAGTGTGATCTGCTGTGCCAAGTTTAGCATTCACACAAACATTAAAAGATGAAGAACTTGTGCAAGATATGGATCAAGCAGGGTGTTGTGTGGATGTGTCTATAATTTTATCTCACAGTATATAGATGTGTCATAGATCTGGTCATTTGTAATGGAAAAGAAGCAATAAACCTACATACCTATTTTGTGGCTTGTTTAATTTTCTGGGTAAATTTGTCTGATTTGTTTATTACTATAATGGCTGGTTTAGTACTGTTTTTGTTTTTGTTATTGCTGTCAAGTTGTTGTGTGTTGTTATTCATTCAATTCAAAGGCTACTTTCTTTTTGGCCCATCAGATGCTTCACATAATTTCTTTGCTTTGTTTATCCATTAAATTACTTTATATTGTCATTTATTTAGGGTGAGCAGAAGCATTAAAATCCATGATCCAAGTGATCAGGGAGGGAACAAGGCCATGTGCATGTTGATGGGGGTGTTCATTGATGGCTATTTGTTTATATAATCAGTTATTTCATGTGGCATGTGAATGTATAGGTTCTAGATTGAATGGCCTTTAATGGGATGTGTTGGAATTATGTGATGTGTGATGGTGGGTAGGAGAACATGCATGCCCCATATGTGTTTGTTTGTGATTCTAAATGATTTTTATGGGATCACTAAAATCTAATTTAGGTCAATGGTTTTTGAAATTTCTAGTTGAAGAGATGGCAAATGTAATCTAACGGATGAAGTTGGAAATTAAGCTAGATGTCAGTTGAGGTTATTTATAATATAAAACATGACAAGTTTCAATAAGTTTATCGATAGTCTCAAATAAACTCATCCAATGACTACCAACATCCATCTCAAAATCATTCACAAAACACGAATTATCTCTAGTATCACTATATATCGTGTGTACCTTGCTGCTTATTGTGTTTATATCAACTTGTTTATATTCCGATTCCAATGACTAGAAAGCTAGTATTGTGCATACTAAGTGATATTTAGTCATTGCCATGCAAGTGTATGTTTTGAATGTTTAATCACACTTGCCATAAGTTAAATGTAAAAAAAAAAAAAAAAAAAATGCCATGCATGAGAATTCACATTATCATTGCATGTATACAAATACAATAAGTGTAGAAACCAAGATAAGGGACAGATTTAACCTAGAGAAAAGCTTAGAATTGCACTCACATGAACTTAATTAGATATAAAAAATCAAGCGATTTAGAATTGAGTGTGAGAAACAAATAAAATAAAATCTCATTCACCCTCCTCTAGATCATGATGTCATATATTATCACGAGTGAAAATTAGAATTGTTAATCGAGTCGAGTTTTGCGAACTTGAACCTGAAGTTATCTAGTTCGTTTTGCTAAATAAGTCTAAAAAATTGTTCAAGTTCGGTTTGTTTAAAAAATGAACAGAACCCGAGCCAAATTTGAATAGCTCAACTATTTTGCATATAAACGAGTTGATTATAACTTTTTTAGGCTCATTTTTTAAATAAGTCTTAAAAATTGTTCAAGCTCGATTTGTTTAAAACACGAATCGAGCATGAATCAAATCTATCCAAACTAAGCTTGAATAGTTCGGGCACGATTAAGAGCCCTAGTAAGAACACAAAGTATGCTCAGGCCCACCTCATGCCCATGTCCATATAATCCTTCTTAATGATGAACTGCATCACAGCCCATCTCATTTTGGTAAGTCCCATGATGTTGTACACCCTCTTGAACCACTCTCCCTCATGTATGCTTCTGCATTTACTATGTCATACACAGTCATTTCACACCATCTTAGAATTTCAAATATCATTGCATGAGTTAGGTCAATGATAGGTATGTGGGATGAGATATATATATAAACAATTTATACTTCTCTTTCTCATGGAATTTTGAGAAATTTGAATTTATATTTGGGGGATCTTTATTGAGAATTACATTAGTATTAAATAGATTCTAAAGTAAAGAGTGATTCAAAGCATGAGATTATTGTCATTGCATGACATTGAGAAGGGTAAAATATAAGCAGTCTTATCCATGCATATTGAGAGACTATTTTTGCGACTTGTAGGTCACAATCGAAGAAACCTTACCCCGCGGATCCCTACGCTCAAGATGATTCTTAAGTACTATGATAAAATTTTGCAAGTTCTAATTTAGATAAGTAACTCGATCTTGACTTGAGTTTGACATCAAAAGATTCAAATTGAGACAAAGATCTAACCACTGGCTCTCCTGATGGAGCCAACATTTTATTTTCTTCACGTAAGTGTCAAAATGGTTCTAACGAATTTATTTATCAATTGATCCTTGGTTTTTGCTTATTTTCTAAAGCCAAGGGCCAAATAACAATAGCTCAATAGTCGGGCTCAAGTACAATTTTGATCAGTCACAATCGAATTGGATGTGGAGATAATAAATCTCCACAAACTTGGTTCCTTTACTATCAGCAATATCATGTTTTTTGAGCATGTATGTGCTCTGCACTTGTGGTTAATTTGGAAGAAACACTTAACAATTCAATTTAGTTGAGAAATATAGAAGGATTTTGGGTATATTTTTGAAATAGGAACATATATTATAGGAATTGTGCGCGATGATTCTGACACAATGAATAAATTGACATATCTCTCCCCTATTGAACACGTGTTAATCTGAAAAATTAAAAGCTCTGCAACAAATGAATGTTGATATGTTGTAATGAATAGTGATGAAACTCTTTTAGAAACGATCTATTCACTCATGAATCCTCGAACATAGTCCTATTACTCAAAAAGAAAGGTTAGAAGGGCATCAGAGTGTTTTCTAGCATGACCCCTCCGACGATAAAGTCAGTATGTGAAAAAGAGTTTGGAAAGACACTGTTCTATTGCTTAGGTGAGATTTTGTATACCTTAGACTTAAGTTTGAGAGTACTATTTATACCTTCATTGAGTCAATCATTATGGACAACTGGTCCCTTTGAGGGAAGACACCTTATTGGCTCATTTGGAAGGTAACATGTGGTGCATAGTCCTTGAACAAAGTGCCTTCCTTTTCATATGACAGAAGCTTTTGCATTTAGTGTTCGGATCCCCGAGCATTTAGTGTTTTCTTTTTTAACCTTGTCGAACAATAAATATGTCTCATCTTTTTGTGGGGGTCATTGAATATACCTTGATTATGGTTGCACATGCGCAAGGACATATTCATTCATTACCCCCCAAGGGGTCAAGATTTCAATGTCTTATACTTCGTACATCTTTACTATTAGTTACTGAACTGTCTTCTTTGCCATTCTGGCTACCTTGAGAAAGGTGACTGCTGATTGATAGCCAATCCTACCTCTAGGTCATGATAACCTATTTGACCACGATTACTATTATGCTTGCATCAACTGACCTTCTCTTCTTCTCTTTAGGAACTTAGCAATTTGGCAAGGGCAAACCATCAAGACAAGTGTCCGCACTTCGTCAGCGTGGAAGGCTTAACGTCGAGGAATTGTGTCAGGTGGAGAGTCCCTCGGGGTGACCTAGACATCGAGGACACATGTCGAGTGGCTGGGACTCCAGAGGGACCCAAATGCCGAAAACATGTGTCATGCCTAAATGTTGTGGGCATGTGTTGAGCAGGCCACACTTCAGGGGATCAAGATGCTGAGGACACGTGTCAGTGATTGGACACTCCGAGAACATCTATGCCGAGATCACATGTCACTCCATGGAAACTCCAAGGCCACCATGCCGAGGACACGTGTTGCCTCCCCCTTAATCTTCGAGAACGTTCCATCGGGAACAAACTATCATCAAGGTATAAAAATGTATTTACCCTTTTTCTTTTAGGTGAATGACAATTTTTACCCTTAGAAGATTTTTAGATTCTTATAATTCACTTCCTAAAAAATTAAAATTCTCAAATTACACCCTTTTTTTTAGCAGCGAAAAAATTGTGAAATTCATTCAAGTAGGAAAATGTTGGTTACAATTAAATGAGAGCAAAGCTTTTAAATCTAGCGAGGGACAACTAACCCAATTCGCAGCAAGTGAATCAGATAATACTGATTCTGCCACCCAATAAACTGTCCTATTAAGGGCTATTGGCTTGTATGAGAACCTAATATCTAAATGTCTAGCAAAAATTCTAATGTCCTTCACAAAAGCAGAGATTTCCCACGGAGGGACCCCTTCAGTTGTGCTAAGCTTGATGACTTCCTGGTTATCACTCTCAATTGTACAGTGCCAAATCTGAGATTCGGTTGCTAATAAGCAGGCTTCCCTTACCTCTGCTACCTCTGCATATAGGCTTGAAACTATTGGGATTCTCTATGAGATCCCATATTTTATATAAATATAAATGATTTTAACTTGATAGTATTTTTTTTAAATGATTAAAATAATAAGAAAAATTTCAAATTGTTGTTAAAGGAACAGTCGCGTAAGTTCAAGGTACGGGTGTATTGACTATTTAGTCAAATTTAATTTTTAGAGATGTTTAAGGTTAATAAGAGTAATTAAGTAAATATATTAATTTTTTTTATATCAAAATAACATTACAATTGAATCCAGGAGGTTCGAAAATCTTGTAATAGACATTTAGCGCATATAGTGGTTCAGAGGGGTAAAATGGTAACTTTAGTGTTTCAGGTGTAAATTGACTTTAATTTTGAGATAAATCATAAAATTAAATATTTTTAAGTTAAAACAACATTAAAAATGAATCCGGAACGTCTAAAAATCTTAGGGTAGTCATAGAGATCAAATTAGAAATATTTAGTGGCAAAACTGTAATTTTGGAGGAAAATGCAATTTTTGGCCTTATGAACAGTAAAATTCGGGATTTGTTGCTTTTAAAACACCATTTTTAGTCCCATTATTTATTTCCATTCTTACTCAATTCCTCTTAGAACTCTAGGGCAAGATAAAGGGAAAGAGAAGACGGAAGAACAAGGTCTTTAGAGCTTGGATTTTTATTTGAAAATATAAGAACATTACTTGGAATTCTTGGATTCACTTGAAGATTTGAAGGCGGAGCTTGGGTTCTTGGGTTTTGAGGTAGGGTTTTTCTTTCTCTTTAATATACATTGATGCATCTCATGTACGTTCTAGATCTATTTGTTTAGTATGAGCTAAATACATACTATGGGTCTTAATTAAATGATAAGTTTACTATGAATTTGTAAACTTACATGCATTAAATGAATTTGGATATTGTGGTTTGAAACCCTAACTTAATTTTTGTTATGGGTGTTTGATTAAACTTAAGATTTTGAATTCTTTAGAATATATGTGATTTTATATATAACGTATTTGATTTATCTCTTAAGAATGAGTATGTTTCTTTATAAATGTGTATTTGGAGGT